TCCCAGCACCCACATGGCAGCTATGAATCATCCTTAACTCCAGTTCCAGGGAGAATCTGAAGCCCTCTTCTGACCTCCGCAGCATTGCACAACACAGGTGCACTCACATACACCAGGCAATACACTCATACACATAAAATTAAAGTAATAAATAATGTATTAAAAAACCAAAAAAGAAAACTCATTTTCCTCATGCTCTCATGGCAGGTAGGCTGACAGTGTGCCCAAATCCCACCCTTGGAAAATGAATGTTCTTGCCCTTGAATGCCAAGTAATTTTCCTTCTACTTCTTATTTTTTTGTTTTGTTTTTTAAGATAAGAGTCTCACTATGTAGCCCTGGCTGGCCTGGAACTAGCTATGTAGACCAGGCTGGCCCTGAACTCACAAAGATCTGCCAGGCCCTGTCTCCTGAGAGCTGAGATTAAAGATGTGCACCACCATGCCCCAGCAAACCCAGCCTTCCTCCTACTTCTATATATTCACACTACAGCTCAATGAATTTTAAATGCTTAATTCAAAGGTAGTTACCTGGAATAAGTCACAAGTATTTAATGTGGATAATTGCCTGGCTTTGATAGGATCAATAATTTGACACCAGCAAACTGGATTTCTTTCAAGACAAAGGCTGTAAGTGCAGAAGTCATAACTCAACTGTCTAGACTTAGGTACAAGGGGCATATGACCATTCATTAACCTACAAAAATACTCTTACCAGTTTAAGACCCTCCAATCTCATCTGAAATACTATATAAATATTCAAAATAACTTAATAAAAATTGGGAATTCATAACTGATGGTATGCCACAGATTAACTGGCATCACTTTTTCTTTTTTAATAATGCATAAAATAACAAGATTTATTAAGTTAAATAGCTCTTTGATTTGATAAAATACCATATACTTGCTTAAAAGCTTTTCTGTGCCTAAGTAGCCAAAGAAGTCTGATTAAGATGGGAACATTTATCTCAGCTATTTGTATCATAGTCAAGAACACTGGATCAGTTATTCTACTTTATTACTTAGCTATGCACAGACAATAATCTTCAAACAATTACCATAATGATCAACAGCATGAGGGATAGAGAGTAAGAATCTTCACCAAGGCCAACCTAAAGTTCTATCTCCAAGCAGCAAAATGCAAAGTCCCCTTTTTATCAAGCTACCACCTGTTTCCCAGAGTAATATAGCAGCAGGGGAAATAAGACAAAAAGAGAAACATTTGGGTTCAGATTTAACTTACTGCGTGGTAACAAACTGACACCTATTATCTGAGAGTTCAACTCCTTTTTAATAATCCTTCATTAATATTAATCTCTGTGGAAATTGTTTTCATTTGTATCTTTTAACAGAATACTGACACTTATTTTTGTAACTCAACAAAGAATTTTACTCAAGCTACAGGTCTATTCTTGGGATGAGAACAATACTGAATGAGCAAAAGTAATGGAGGACTACTTTGAACAAGCTTGCATCTCTCCTGCATAATACCCAAAGAATTTTGTTTTGTTGCTGTAAATGAACTTACTACAGCACACATGTGACGGTCAAAGGATAACTTGCAGGAATCAGTTCTCTCCTTCCACCATGTGGGTCCCAGGAATCAAACTCAGGTGGTTAGGCTTGGTAGAAGTGCCTTTACCTACGGAGCCATCTCCTTAGTTTTTTTTTGTTTTTGTTTTGGGTTTTTTTTGTTTGTTTTTGAGACAGGGTCTCCCTGTAGTCCTAGCTGGCCTAGAACTTGCTATGTAGACCAGGCTGGCCTAGAACTCATAGAGATCCGCCTGCCTCTGCCTCCCAAGAGCTAGAATTAAAGGCATGCACCACCACGCCCGGCCTCCTCAGCTGTTTTTAATGTCTGTCTGTCTGTCTGTCTGTCTGTCTGTCTGTCTGTGTGTGTGTGTGTGTGTGTGTGTGTGTGTGTGTGTGTAAAAGAGAAAGACAGTAGTACACACGTGCATTAATGTGTGTGACTACAGGCACAAGCATGCCATAGCATGCCTGTCAAGGTCAGGAGAGAACTTTGGGTTATCCTTGCCTTCCACCTTGTTTAAGACAAAGTCTGTTGTTTGCCATTGTTTATGCCAGGGTATCTGGCCTGTGGTCTTGCAGGGATTCTCCTGTCTCTGCCTCCCTTGCTGTCACAGAAGCGTTGGGATTAGATAAATATGCACGACTACATCTACATCTGCTTTATATGGGTCTGGGGATTCAAATTCAGGTCCCCATACTTACACAAGTGCTTTACCCATTGAACCATCTCCCCATACCCCATCCAGAATTCTGATGGCAGGGACAGAGGCATTTAGATCATTTTTTCCAAAGTAGGGTAAGGATTAGATCAAAATATTCTTTTCTCAAATTCCCAACAAAAACCTCTAAGAAGATGTAAAGAACCACCCTACATGGCTTAGCAACTAGGAAAAGTAGACAGAAACAGGAAAAAATGGCATTCTTTGATGTAAGTGAACCGCTGGGATTCATATAAAGGTATGGTCACTGCAAAAGAGCATTTACCTCAGAGGTAACTTCCACATCAGTATCATCACTCAAGGACTTTGAGTCCTCAAGCTCATCATCTTTTCCTGCTTCAATCACCTGTTAAGGTAAGGACATTACATTAGAAATGCCAACCTGTTTTAAATGAGGCTATTTACCTGAAAGCAAAACCAACCGAACAGCTTCACTTTACGATTCTCATTCTACCCTCATCACTGTCACTTAGCAAGAAGAGAACTTAAATGTATGAGATCAAAAGCATGATTCTGTACACATCTGGCTGACATTTTAGTAGCACACATGATTGAAAAGCACCCAATTACCAAGTATCCTCTTTCTTTTTTTTTTTTTTTTTTTTTTTTTTTAGACAGGGTCTCCCTGTAGCCCCAGCTGTCCTGGAACTCACTATGTAGACCAGGCTGTCCTCAAACTCACAAAGATCCGCCTACCTCTGCCTCCCAAGTGCTGGGATTAAAGGTTCACGCCCGGCAAGAATGTTTGTTTTTTAAAACTCTTGATAGCTTCCTATTTAAAAAAAAAATATTTTGAAGTAGCCGGGTGTGGTAGCTGGGGCTAGACAAAACCAACAAACAAACATTCTTCTCCTACAGTAGAAAATGTTGAGACCATTTAGAACTTTGCTTAGTTAGCAAAGCAAAAATTTCTATAAGAAAGGAGCTTCAGAATGGGAGGTATCAGAAGAAGGGGAAATGGCAGCATATTGTTTCTAATGAAGCAGGAGCCATCACAAAATCTTATCTTATTTCCAAGGCAGCCTTGTCTAATTCAATGTAAAATTTAAATTTGGATATACACAAATATTAAACACCAAAAGAGGTAGTTATATGAGACCTGAGCAAGTAATTCTATGAGCACACAGATACAATCAAAAGGAAAACTGGGGGCTGGAGAGATGGCTCAGTGGTTAAGAACACTGACTTGCAGAAGACCTGGATTCGAATCTCAGCACCCACATGGCAGCTAACAACTGTCTGTAACTCCAGTTCCAGGGGATCCGACAGCCTCTTCTTTCCTCCGTGGGCATTGCACAACACAGGTGCATTTACCTACATGCAGGCAATACACGCATACACATAAAATAAAATTAAAAATAAATAAATAAGTAAAAGGAAAACTGTTCAAAACATACCTTTTTGTCACTTGCTTTCCCTATTTTTCCACTTGCTTGTCCACAATCAGCAGCTTCAACTTTGATCCCAACACCTAATTGCTCTGATACTGACTCATTTAAAAACCACAAATCATCTGTAGTGTCTGAAACAATGGCAGTACCTACATCCTAACAGAGAAAATAAAAATGAGCTTCAGTGAATTATCAGCAAGGTTCAACCAACATTAAAGAACCCAAAAGTTAATGTCTTTACATGCCATCCTTCAACATACAGGTCTTCCTTCATTCAGCAGGTCTATATCTGGCACCTGCTATGGTTATAAGGAATTTTTAACAGTACATCAGGTATAATATCTGAGAAACAGCATGAAAGTTTTAAAAGGACTCACAGCTGCTTAATAACCACAATGCATTCAACAATCATCTCCACAAGTGAAAATCTAGAAAAAAAAAAAATCTATGCTTTGCAATATAATTCCTTTAAAATGATCAATGACTGCTTTTCAAAGAAATAATGACAGTAATCCCAACCTTTCACCCTGACACTTTTCGAATTTTGTTTTTGTTTGTTTGTGTTCCGTGGACCTGGAATTCACTACACAGCCCAATTAGGCCTCAAACCCACCATTCTTCTGTCTCGGTCTTCTAAGTGCTGAGATCACATACATGTCCATCATACTCAGCTACTTTCTAGTAGTTTTTTTTTTTTTTTAAGACAGTCTCAGTTGGCCTGGAACTCTCTACGGAGACCAGCTGGTCTTAATCTAACACACCTTTAATCTCAGCACTTGGGAGGCAGAGGCAGGAGAATCTCTGTGAGGACAGCTGGTCTACACAGCGAGTTTCAAGCCATCTGTGACTATGAGGGAGAACCTGTCGCAAAAAGACAAACAAACAAAAAACTACCTTAATTTCTGTATTCATCTATAGACATTTTATAGCACGCTTTCCTACAATATTCATAAGACAACTTTTTATTTTGCCACTGTTACATGACCATTCATTTATAGAACACATACTCGCTAAATAAATGCCTATTATGTACCAGATACTGTTTTACGTATTCGTGGGAAGGGACAAAGTGGTGAATAATGCAAAAGTCAAGGTCTTACAATTCAATGAGAGCAACAAACAATACATACATATATGAAATCTGATATTTCTACAAAGTGGCAAGTGCAATTGAGAATATACATTAAGATAAAGTCAAGAAAACAAACAAATGATGAAGAGGATATGGGGAAAGAGGAATGCTTACTCACTGCTAGTTAAGAATATAAACTAAACTAGTCACTACGAAAATCAGTATGGAGAGTTCTCGAACTACTGTATATATCCAGGTATAAATTCAGAAGACTCTAAGTACTACCAGAGAGATATCTGCACATCCATGTTTACTGCTATACTATTCACAAGAGCTAAGAAACGGAACTAGTTTAGATCTCCATCAGCAGATATATGGGTAAAGAAAATGAGGTACATATACACAATGGAATTATATTCAGCCATAAAGAAAAATGACAGGATATAGGGAGACCCTGTTTCAAAAAGACCAAAAAAAAAAAAAAAAAGGGTTCGCAAGGCATGGCACCCACCTGTAGTCCCAGCACTTGGGAGGCAGAGGCAAGAGGATCTCTCTGAGTTCAAGGCTAGCCTGGTCTACTTAGTAAGTTCCAGACCAGCTGGGACTACAGGGAGACCCTATCTCAAAAGACAAAAAAAGACCAAAAAAAAAAAAAACCACACTAAAAATAAAAATTACTCTCTGAGCTGGGCATGTTGGCCCACACCTGTAATTCCAACACTCAAGAAGCAGAGGCAGAAGGATTAGCACAAGTCTAAGTCTCACATAGTGAGTTTGAGGTCAACCAGGCCTACACAGAAAGACCCTAACTAACTACATGAACAAGAATATGAGTTAGTGAGATGGCTTATGGGCAAAGACACTTGCCACTAAGCCTGACAACCTGAACTCAAACCCCAGGACCCACATGGTAGAAGAGAACTAATTCTCAAAAGTTGTCCTCTGACCTACATACACACACACACACACAGAGCACCCACATGGTAGAAGATAACTAATTCTCAAAAGTTGTCCTCTTCCCTGCATACACACACACACACACACACACACACACACACACACACGTAAAATAAATTTTTTCTTTATTTTTATGTGTATGAGTGTATTGTCTGCATGTATGTAAGTGCACCTGTGTCATACAGTGCCCATAGAAGAAAGAAGAGGGTGTCAAATCCCCTGGAACTGGAGTTGCAGATGGTTGTTAGCTGCCATGTGGGTGCTGGGATTTGAACCAGGTCTTCTGTAAGAACAGCCAGTGATCTTAACCACTGAGTCATTTCTCCAGCTCAGTAAAAAAAAATTTAAATAAAAACTAATCAAGACAGTTTTGGTCTAAAGCTGCTATAATATCTACATGAAAAAGAACGACTTGAACTAGGTTATGACAGTATATGTGGTTTAAAAAAAAAAAAGGTTGGCATTTGATGTGTCTTAGATAAAGCCTTAATAACCTGAATGTTGTTTACAGAAGGAAATCAGTATCTCTTTGATGTTCTGCTAAGATTACTAAGTAGAAGGAAAAGGTAGGGAAAAGAGTGCTTGATTTAATAAAAAAAAAAAGATGGGCCAGGCATGGTGGCACACACCTTTAATCCCAGCACTTGGGAGGCAGAGGCAGGCAGATCTCTGTGAGTTCGAGGCCAGCCTGGTCTACATAGCAAGTTCCAGGCCAGCTGGGGCTACAGGGAGACCCTGCCTCAAAAAGATAAAAGAAAAGAAAAAAAAAAAAAAACCCACAAAAAAAAAAAAAAAAAAAAAAAAAAAAAAAAAAGAAAAAAAAAATTGGATTTCATGTACAATGTCAGATTCTCTAAAAGTGAACTCAATTTATATCAGGAGCTCAATATGGAAGCTGGGTACTGTATGGAGGAAAGCGGTCAGGACTAGGGATAGAATTTGAGCATCACATACATCCAGATAAGTCAAAGCAATAAGAATTCTTAGAGTATGCAATATATGATCACAGTAACCAAAAACATCTGTCAAAAGCAACACAAAACAGCTCCCTTCAGAACTGGCATTTACCTGATTTGTCTGTAAATCAGTTGAGCCATTACTTCTAGGTCTATAGTTGTTTCTCAAGTTCCCTAAAAACCACCAAGGCAGGCCGGCAACATCCCACTCCTCAAAATCAAGGTCCAGCCTAGATGTCTCATCTTGAGTTAAATTTTCTATCAAGTCTTCATCTATGGAAATCAAATGAAAATAACTATGTAATAAAGAAGAGCTAAGATTCTGCTTGGAATACTTACAATCTTTATAAAATAAGTAAAAGGAAATTTCTATTCTCTGTAAAAAAAAAAAAAAAAGACGATGCACAAATCAAATCTTAGTGGCAAAGGCACAGCTCAAATCTCCTATTTAGGTTTCATTAGTAAGCAGTAACACTAGGAATAGAAGATTACTTAAAGAATCTAAGCTCTAAAGCAGCTGAACCATGATACTGTTCTAGAAGGATTTCAGAAGTGCCATTTTATGGTAATTTAACCTAACACTGTAAGTAATAGCTCATTCTTTTTTTTTAATTTTATTATTTTTATTTTATGTGTATATTGCCTGCATGTATGTGAGTACACCCATGTCATGCAGTGCTGCGGAGGTCAGAAGAGGGCTTCAGATTGCCCTGAAATTGGAGTTAAGGACGGTTCATAGCCTCAATGTGGGTGCTGGGAATTGAACCCGGGTCCTCTGCAAGAGTAGTCAGTGCTCTTAACCACTCAGCCATATCTCCAGCCCCAAGTAATGACTTATTCTAACACATGGCTACCTAATAACGGCTTGACCCACTGGACTGCAAATGGTAACAACACAGTAGCCAGTCCTGAAATCAAAGCAGGGAGGTACAGATCTTAATGGGCAATCGTAAAGTTGTTGAATCTTATTAGTGCCACATATTTGGGGATATTTATCAATCATGCATATGTTTTGTTAGGTAATAGCCATTATAAACAGTGAACCCTAAGTTGTTCAAATAAATACATTCATGTGTCTTTTCAGGATCAATGGACTCTTTGGGAGTTAAGTATATCACAAATATCATGAATCATGTTCCCACATATTTCAAATAAAAGATTTTTGTGTTATACATATGAACCATATTCAAGACGGCTACTAACTTTATTACTGCTACCTTATCTTTCTTTTCTTCTACATTCTCCAGTCCTGTTTGCACTGCTTCTTTTTCCTACTTTCTCACTCTCATACCTCTTCCCAATGCATTAAGCCTGGTAAAGGCAGTCACAGGTGCATAATGAGGCACACACAATTCAGTTGTGCAATGAGTGGGCCCCTGACAGAACATAACTCTACCCTGCCTATTTACAAATTATGCCCATATCTCTGGCCAGGGAAACTTCAATCACTTTTTTACCTGTTCATTATTATAATGATCAGAGGTTAGTTCCTGAGACAGAATCATTAAAGTTATCCTCATGTATGTATGTATCCTCATGAAAAGAATATGAATAAACCGTTCCACAGATTTCCCTCCCTCTTTCTTTCCTTCCCATTCCCCTGCCCATCTCCTTTTCTTTGAGACAGGTACCTGGAATGCACTCTAAGAACAAGCCGGCCTCACAATCAAAGACCCACCTGCCCCTGTGTCATCTGTACTGAATTAGAGGTATGCACCAACATGCCTCACCTCTTTCCTAAGTTTCTATCACAAATTACATAGTCTCTTGAACTATTATTTTAAGCAGTTTTTTTTTAGTAGAAAACAATATGCAATTAAATGAGATCATATATTTAATATCATACAGACTAAAATAGTTCCAATGTAAATGAATATATCGAAATTCAGTTTATGTTGAAATACAATAAAAAAAAAAATCCAGCATGATAAACTAATTCAAATTTAGTTTAAACATGTAAAACAACTTCAGCAACATAACTTTCTCAGATATAACCGAAGGTCTAAACTTGCCATTGATCCAAACATGAACCAGATACCTAGACTATAAAGCAAGCCTTAAACTAAATACCTTTGGGAAATTTATAATTTTTTTTTAATACATTGAAAAAAAAAAAAAAACTCTATGATTTCAGAAGATAACGGTCATTTTTGTAAACTTTGAACCTATGAAAATTAGCCTGCACTTCAAAAAGAAAAAAGAAATATAAATAAAAATCTAACCAAATCAAATCTATACAGGGCTACCAGAATTCAAAAAGCCAAATCAGCTGAATTCATACACACAAAGTACCAAGTCACAAACAAGCAGCATCTTCTACCAAGCATGCTAGCTAATGGAAGTTGCTAAAAAGGTAAGAACTATCTTCACAGTTAACAGTGGTGACTATGTGGAAGAGGTTTTTCAAAGCATGAGAATATGACACATGGCATTCCTTGTTCTGAGTTCCTATGATGGTCCTAATACACCTAGAGATGTCATTCCTAGAAATGGAGGAGGGAAGGAGAGTCTGTATAGCATTAACCCCAATCTTACTTCCATTAGAATTTCTGCGTTTACGTTGTGAGGTAGGCAGTGTAGGAATCTCATCTTCTTCCGTTCTTTTTCTGGAACTGGAGCTTTCCACTGCACTGTGCTGAAAGGGAAAAATGTCTATTAGTATGGTTGAAATGACTGAGACCAGGGGATGTAGCAGTTCCATTCTGGCTCACCAGTTAGTGTGCAGCACAATGGGTTATGCACAAGGAAGAGAATTCTGGAGTTCACAAGAGTCACCAGGTAAAGCCACGTAACACCTTTCAACACACCATGAGCAGAACTAGAAAAACCCAAACTTGGGGGATAGGGGGTAACCAACATACAAAGGCCAAAATTCATTCTTGAAAAATAGATTATCTGTATAGCCTTCTTCAAAATTAGGCATAATTCAGAAAACATGAAACTCTCACCATAGACTAAGATGATCTTAAAGTTTCCCCAGGTTTGAGGACACTTTAGGATTGGCCTGACATGAACTTTACTGCAACAAGTGTGCTAAAATCTAATAGAGCAATTTCCTCAAACGCTCAAGTACATACATAACCTTAAATACATGTACATACATGGGGACCGGAGGGGAGGGGAGAGGAGGGGAGGGGAGGGGAGGGGAGGAGGGCAACACAAACCCAAAGAAAGAATAACTGGAAGAACTGAAAATCAGAAGTGCTACATCCCAAAGACAGATTCAGAGACTGGAACTCTGTTAAGGGCAGAACAGAGAAGGTTCACTCTGTCCCTGGTCTGTGAACTCCCAAGGACCTTTCCTATTAAATTCTTACCGCGTTCAGGAAAAGGCCTTGGGAGCCCAAGATCCACAGGTACAGAGAAGGGGCCACTCTGTACAACAAAAGAAGTCACCGTGTGGTGATTTTACCTTCAGTTGGTCTTGACTTGGAACATCCATACTGTGATCCTGTGCGAGAGCGAGAGTCTGAGCAGCATCTGGATAGCAAGTAAACAAAAGGAAAACCTTCCCTGGTAATAACCATTCTTTCCACACCAGAAGGACCTCAGCTAGCAGCCCTGATGCCAGGTTTGCTCCCTATAGATATACTTCTGGCTGAAAAAACTCTTGTTTCTAAGAAGAAAAAACTAAAACTGATTTAAAAAAAAAAAAAAAAAAAAAAAAAAAGACAAAAACAAAGATAGGCCATGTTTAAAAAAATAACACCAGAATAATCTGGGGGAAAGTAAAAAGTGAATAAAAATGTTTTTCCATGGCATGCTTTCAATTTTATACAAAAAGTTATCCCAAGCACAAAATAACACATAGTATTTTTCATCTTGTCCTCTATTGCCAAACTTCCCAACTTATAAAAAACAGTAACAACAAAAGGTACTTGTGATTTTTTTTTTTATTTTAATTTTGGGGTTTTTTTTTGGGGGGGGGGGTGTTTTTGTTTTTTTGTTTCCCTATAGCCCCTGCTGGCAGAGAACTCACTATGTAGACCTGGCTGGCCTGGAGCTCACAGAGATTGGTCTGCCTCTGCTTTCAAAGTGCTGGGACTAAAGGCGTGCACTACCACGCCTGGCCTTTAATTTACATTTTTAAGTGTTGTATTACAAGATCTGAAAATCAGGACTCCCCTACACATGCCTGAGAAAACAATTTCGTCTTCACAATTTAAATTCCTACCACCTGAAGATAGACTGGACTTTTTTTTTACAGTCTTTCTTCTCTCACTGATCACATTGTCTAAGAAAGAATAAGCAAAGTGTTTCTTGGGGCTAACAAAAAGTAGGAAAGAAAAGGTGAGCGGACAGTTAAGATATTTTTTAATATTTTACTTTTTATTACTGTGCAAGATGTGTGTGTGAGTGTAGAAGCATGGGTCATGACATACATGTGGAAGTCAGAAAACAACTTTCAGGAGTTGGTTCTCTCCTTTCACAGTGGGTTCTGGGAATAAAATTCAGATCACTGGTCTTGCACGGAAACTCCTATAACCCACTGAGCCATCTTACAGGACAGAGAGAAATTCATATATGGTGAATTCACTGAAGAGGGAAATGTACCCCAAGGACAGAAATTTTCTGGGCAGAACAGAAGGAAAAAACATGGCTACAGAAAAGAACAAGCTACAAAGAACCTAATCTAACTTAAATCACTGATGAGATGAAGCTGTATGTAACTGAGATATATCCAAATAAGTCTGTTGGGAACAGGTTCATCACCCACTATCGGCTCCACAGAGAAGATGTTCATAGAAAACAGCATCATCATCCAACAAAGGTCAAGAATCCAGATTCTACAACTAGCCTGACAAATTGTTTTGCACAAAGCAAACATTCTAAATTTATAATGATGAAATTGCTTCTAAAAGTATTTTTTAATATTTTACTTATTTTTGGTTGGTTGGTTGGTTGTCTTTTTGAGACAGGGTCTCCCTACAGCCCCAGCTGGCCTGGAACTCACTATGTAGACTAGGGTGGCTTTGAAGTCACAGAAATCCACCTGCCTCTGCCTCCCAAGTACTGGGATTAAAGGTGTGCACCATTATGCCCAGGTATTATACTTATTTTTTGTGTATGGCCTGCATGTATATAAGTGCATCCATGTCATGAAATGCCCAAGGAGGTCAGAAGAAGGTGTTGGATCCCCTAGAACTAGAGTTACTGATGGTTGTTAGCCGCCATGTGGGTGCTGAGAATCGAACCCAGGCCCTCTGCAAGAGCAGCCAGTGCTTTTTAACCACTGAGCCATCTCTCTAGCCTCTTCTAAAATTATTTTTATAGCTAAGTGAGAACACTGAAAAGTTCAGACATAGCATTTCCTGGCCAGAGTGGTCTTCAAAGCAAGATCAAACTGATATACAACACAGGTGAAGCAGTTTTTTGTTTTGTTTTTTTTTTAAAGCAAGTCTGTTACTATCACATATTACTAACACCTTACTACCTTACTAAGGCTAAAATATTTGAAAGCAAAAGAAATTTTCTAGAAAGCCACACAATGCAGAAATTTGAAAACAAATACAAAGCTTTTCCAATCTATTTCATTTTATTAGTATATCTGGGGAAATTTGGAGAAATTATTTAGAAAGAACCATCTTTGTTTTAAATAGTGTCCATTTTCTTTAACAATCAAAATAAATAAAGGTCTAACCTACTTGCAGTGGTATAAAATAGTTACACAGAAAACACTTTTTCATTTGTCCTTTCAAATAAAACACATACAATTCAATTTATTTTCAAGTCTACAGAGATAGGCAACTACAACCACCAATTACAAGAACAAGTCAGAGCAGACAGCTTATCAAAATTCCTTGCAGCTCTTATAAAACTCTGTATAATAATTTTTTAACCATTAAAAAAAGTCCTTGGGCCAGGCATGGTGGTGCATGAATCCAGGACTTGGGAGGCAGAGGCAGGTGGATCTCTGTGAGTTCAAGGCCAGCCTGGTCTACATAGTGAGTTCCAGACCAGCTGGGGCCACAGGGAGACCCCGTCTCAATAAGACCAAAAAAAAAAAAAAGTCCTTGCAGCAATTTCCTAAGACATCACTGAGCTATGCTTATGGTATATATTGCTATTGAGGGAATATGAATAAAGAGTATATAAAAACTTGAGCTGGAGAGGTTGGAGAGCTGGCTCAGCAGTTAAGAGCACACTGCCTGCTCTTCCAGAGGGTCCAGGATCAGTTCTCAGCATCCACATGACAGCTAATATCCATCCTTAAGTCCAGTTACAGGGAATCTGATGCCCTCTTCTAATTTACACAGCACAGGCAAAACACTCATACGCATAAAATAAAAATGGATAAAATCTTAAAAAACATGCCTTTAATCCTGGTGCTAAGGAGGCAGAGGCAGGGGGATCTCTGTGAGATCCAGGCCAACCTGGTCAATATAGCAAGTTCCAGGCCAGTCAGGGCTACATAGTGAGACCCTGTCCTCGAACCCCAACCCACCGCCTAAAGAGTATATTAAAACTCTATAATACTTTTTCTTTTTCCCTGAGACTGGGCAGCTATGTAGCCCAGAACAGACTGTAGATCCTCCTGCTTCTGCATCCTTGGTAATGGGATGGGACTGAGAACAGGTACCACTGTACCAGGATTCTACAGCTTTTAAAGTATGAAATTTCTTCAGAATGACAATTTAAATAAAAATGTTTTAAAGACTTTAATATTCAGGCTGGAGAAATAGCTTTGCAGTTAAGAGCTCTGGCTGCTCTTGCAGAAAACCTGAATTCGATTCCCAGCACCCACATGTCAGCTAACAACTGCCTGTAACTCCAGTTCCAAGAGATCTGATGACCTCTTCTGACTCTGGGGGCACTGCACAACACGGTTACACTTACACACATGCAGGCAAAACACTCATTACACATAAAACAAAAACAACAAATAAATTTTTTTTTTTTGTCTTTTTTTTTGAGACAGGGTCTCCTTGTAGCCCCAGCTGTCCTGGAACTCATTATGTGGACCAGGCTGGCCTCAAACTCACAGAGATCCGCCTGCCTCTGCAAGACTTAATATTCAGAGGGGGAAAAAATGTGTCCAAAAAAATTAGGAGGGAAGGCTAATTCTGTTAAAGTACTAAGAAGGGTTAATGAGGTAGCAGTGTGTGAATAATGGGCAGAATGATGACTGTATGGCCAGTGACTGTAAGTTTGATATTGAACAAACCATTCATATTTAAAAATAACAAAAATAACCCTCAGGCTCTCCTCACAGGGTGGCTGTAAGAATGAACTGAATTGTTACAGAAATATTCTTTATGGGAGTAGGGGATTTAGCTCAGTGGTGGAGTGCATGCCTAGCAAGCGCAAGGCCCTGGGTTCGGTCCTCAGCTCCGGAAAAAAAAAAGCCAACAGAAATATTCTTTATGACAAAGAAAGACATATATGCAGAGAAAGCACAAGAAAGAAAATAAGAAGTATACCCACTCCAAAAATTCAGAAACAGATCCATCCAAAAACAAATAAATAAGAAGATCCAAATTATAAAATCCTTGCTGTATCTCCAGCCAGCAGTGACTATTCAAAGAAAAGTCTTATTTCACAAATGACTGAATTGCAATAAAGCTGCCTTTTCACTTGCAAGGTTTTCCCTCTCAAAAAGAAATACACAGCTACACAAAATGAATAAAGAAATTAATAAAGTGGTGAATGACTCAATGAAACAAATAGGCTTCAAAAGTCAAGGAGCTCAAAACCCTACTTCCATACAATAGCAAAATCTGTTTTGTTGACATGGAAACAGGTTTAGGAATAGGTTATTTTCAATGTGTTTGTTTCAGCAAACCACCAAAATCTAAAGTGATCATCACGTAACTTGGACTTCCTTCAAAGGAAAATGTGTCCTTCAAATCAAATATGAAGAAATGGAGGAGGGAACAGGTTTCATTATTCAGAAATTAGTGAAAGTGTCACATGCATTTCAGTTGTATCCAATTCACTCATGCAGCGCTCCCCCACCACCACTTTGGAGACCAAACTCCAAAGCAGCTAGTTGACTACTCATACCTAACAAATTCAAAGGCAGTATTTAAAAGGTCTGGGAAGGGTTAGACTGGCATTCAGATAACAGTTTAATGAGTCAGGTATGGCGGCTCATGCCTGTAATCCCAACATTCAGGAGCCTGAGATATGAGGACTGTCACAAGTTTGAGGCCAGCCTGGGATACATAAGTTCCAGGACAGTGTGGACTCTCATTGATCACTCAATCAATCATGTGCGTGTTATATAAACAGATTACTAAAAATCACTAGGTTGAGTAAAAGTCCAAAGTACCATCAATGAAGGCCTCCCAGCAAAGAAATTTAAACTTGAATCTATTCAAGCACTACTAGCTTGCCAATAATAGGGAGGATAAAGAAACAAATAATCAAAAGGATACAACCTGTCAATTCTAGAATGTAGGCAGTTCTAAAAGACAAATGAACCAATTCTTCAACAAGATAAAAACAAAAAGAAGTATTCTATATCATAGTAGGGTGGCTATAGCTAATAATTTACTAAATATTTCAAAATAGCTAAAAGAATTTTTAATGCTTCCAACACACCTAAAAATTACGGTTGAGCTGACATGTATGCTAATTATCCTGATTTATCATTAAACATTCTATGTGACAAAATACAAGGTACCCCACCCACCAATGTGTAAAATTATGTGATATTCAAAAATGGTGCTGATTTAATGTTAAAACAAATACACAAAACCCCCCAAAAGAGGACAATTAAGCTCTTATTTGTTGGGGTGTTTTTGACACTAAGTTTTATTGATTAAAGATACCCAATGCAATGTATGTATTTTCTTTGGATCCTCATTTGAACAAACCAAAAATAAAAAAGTATTTTTAAGGTAACTGAGAGGAAAAACACATATCATAAACTGGCTTATTCAATAAGATTAGGGAATTTTAATTTTGTTATTATATTGTTGAGTGAAATAATTGGTGTGGTTATGCTTGAAGGGGAAAAATCCTTATTTTAGAGAACTTTTTTTTTTTTTTTTTTTTGGTCTTTTTGAGACAGGATCTCTCTGTAGTCCCAGCTGGCCTGGAACTCACTCAGACCAGGCTGGCCTTGAACACACAGAGATCTACCTGCCTCTGCCTCCAGAGTGCTGGGATTAAAGGCATACACCACTATGCCCAGCCCTTAGAGAATTTTTTAAGTATGTAAAAATGAAGCAAATATAATGTTTAGAATTACTAAGTTTAAACTGGCCCCCACAGATCTGTTATTACAGCTACTGGGAAGACTGAGGTAGGAGAATCCACACATTCAAGTCCTGCTTGGGCTATAGAATGAATTTAAGGCTAGCTTAGGCAACTGAGTGAGAAACTGACTCAAAGTAAGTAAAAAGAAGGCTAGGGGCTGAAGAGATGACATAGCAGTAAAGAACAGTGCATGCTCTTGGAGAGGACTCAAGTTCAGTTCCCAGCACCCAAACTAAGTGGCTCACAACTGCCTCTAACCCCAGTTCCAGAGGATCTAGCACCCTCTTTTGACCTATAACAATACCAAGCATGCACACAATGCACATACATAAATGCAGGCACATAAATACACACAGAAAAATAAATCTTTTTTTTTTTTTCAAATGAAAATCAGGGGCTGGAGAGATGGCTCAGGGGTTAAGAGCGCTGGCTGCTCTTGTACAGGAACTGGGTTCAATTCCTAGCACTAAGATGATGGCTAACAACCATCTCTAACTCCAGTTCCAGGGGAATCCAATGCCTTCTTCTGACTACCTCAAGCACTGCACAACGCAAGTGTACTTATATACATGCAGCCAATACATTCACACACATAGAATTAAAAAATAAGTATTTTTTAAAAAGAAGATCAGTGGTAGAGTGCATAAATACAAAGTCCTAAGCTTAACTCCCATTACCACAAAAAGAAAAAAAAATTACTACATTTAAGATATAAGCATCTCTAGTTTCAGTATACTTGAAATTCCTCAATAAAAACTTAACACAGTAGTAATATTCTGTATTACAGGTAGTAGTATATATCCCTCCCTGTCATATCAAAGAAAGCATTACATTTTCATCTCCATTCTCATTTCCCATCATGTGCCCCCTTAACTAAAAATCAAAGCTACAATACAGACTGAAGAAACATATAACATACCTGTATTAACAGTGGCTAATGTGACAAGATTCTTTCTTAGCATATCATAGAGAGGGCTATAAAAGAAATAAAATAAAAAATTAACAATCCCAAATGCCATTCTGAAGATAGCAATAACACTTGTGGTTTTCCACTCAGTAGTAAATGTATCTGTGGTATATTACCTTTCAACTTTCTTTTAGCTACAGAAAGAATGTTTTTCCCAAAAATTTTTTAAATGGTTTAAATATTAAGAAGCAGCCAGGCACAGTGATATACACCTATATAGAGGTGGGAAGATTAGAGGCAGAAAGACTAAGTTCCAGGTCACTATTAGCTACTTAGTGAGTTTGAGACTAACCTAGGTTACATGAGACCCTATCTCAAAAAAACCAACAAAAAGAAGTACGTGCCCAGGCCAGTTACCTTGTCCCCATCATTAACAACTATACTAGTAACCCAAGTGGGAAGATTTCCTTTGGAAATGTTTCTTACTTCTGTAAGTTAAATTTTACATTTTTTATTGAGAAATGGGAAGCTGAGAAGCTGGAGAGACGGCTCAGTGGTTAAGAGCATGTAATACTCTTGCAGGGAACCCAGGTTCAGTTCCTAATACCCACATGGTGGCTCACAACCACCTGCTAATTCCAGTTCCAACGGCTCTGAGGCCTGCTTTGTGTACATATACAACACATACACATAAATAAGTAAATAAAATGAATCTAAAAAAATTTTTTTTATAAAAAGAGAAATTAGGCTGGGTGTGGTAGTACACACCTTTAGTCCCAGCACTGGGGAGGCAGAGGCAGGAGAGGCTAGAGGCCAGCCTGCTCTACATAGTGAATATCAGGACTGCTGGGGTTATACGGAGACCCTGTTGCAAAAAGACAAGAAAAGAGAGAGAAATTGGGGAAAGTGAGTCTTACTAATATAGGAAAAAGTAAGCTCAGGAGAAAGCAGTGACTACTAAGTCTAAAAAGAGCACTAGCTTCTCAATGACTAACTAGCTTGGTAGGATAAGCCAATGACCACATATAACCCCATGTAAGCAGAGAATGCCACCTTCTAACTCTACCTGATTCTGACTAGTTTCACCATCAACCTCAAACTGCTCTGTAATACTCTTTTTTTTCCCTCACCATTTCACACTTCCTCCTCCCTCTCTAATAAATACCTCACAAAACTCTAACCTAATGACACCTGACTCCCTCCTACCCAAACCTGTACACATGATATTCAATCAGAAGTTCTCCTTCCAACTAATTCCTCTAACCAACTGCTCTAGTGCTCAGCTCAAATTCTCTTTCTTCAAGGAAGCCCTGGCCCTTTAAGTCTAACCTACTCCCTCCCTGCTTCATGTCCTTCTTTTCTATAGCATTTATCATGATGTAATTTTACTATGTATGTGGATGATTACTACACTGTATGCGCCACCAAATCAGACTGTCTACGTTGATCACTGTAAGTGTACCTCACTGGCTATATTAACATGCAGGCTCTTAAACACTTGGTTAAAGGAAGAAATAATCTTTAATAATCTATGGAAATTGAGTGAATAGGTATAAGCATTCAAAAAGATGCACAAGACCTCCCTCTTTTTACCTTGGGTCTTTCACGGAAAAGCTCTGACATCCTAGTAGTTCTCCCAAAAGATCTCCACCACAATATACCATATGTTGCTCCTGTTGATCATAAAGCTGCTTCACCATTATATACTGGCCTAGATAGTGCATTACCTGCATGAGAACAAAACACCATGAAATGATCTGCCCAACCTACCAAAACCACACATTACTGAATTGGTGAATATTTTGCTAAAGAAAGATATACAAGATTGCCAGGGCTTGAATGCTGACAGTGTACAAGTGTATGACAGAATAGATTGCCTCCAACTACCAGTTCATGCACTCATCCATCAACACACCCAGAGTTTTTATCACCCAAATAAATTGATGTGATAGTGAGAAAAAGTAGTGATTTACTTACTATCTCATTAAAAACTTTATCATCAATCCAAATGAATTCTCTTCTATTACTAGAAGTAACAAACTTTAAATCTGCCTAGGCCATAAAAATACTTTCCAAGTCTAAAGACCCATAAGCAACCATACTAGAATTTTTTGGCCGATTGGTTGGTTTGTTGGTTTTTTTCTTTTTTTGGGGGGGGGGGGCGTGATGGTTGAGTGGTTGAGATAGGGTCTTATTATGTAGCCCAAGCCTGTCTGGAATTTGCTGTGTAGACCAGGCTGGCTTCAGTTTCACAGAGATCAATCAGCCTGCCTCTGTCTCCTGAGTGCTCAGATTCCTTTTAACATTGTTCAAAGTTTATTGAACCACTAGCCCTATATGCAAAAAACAGAATCTTGGTCTTTAACAAATAAAAATGTTGTCTATCATCTGGCTTTATTATTTTCAGACTTTAAAAACTAGAAGGGAACGCAGATCAACAACATGATTCTAAACTTGAAATTACCCTTTTAAATATAAGTGGTTTGTCACACAACCTTTACTATGTCATATAGGTTGATACACCTTTAGGCAATAGAATTGGATGAATACTATAACAGAAATTGGGGAGGGAAGAAGAAAGGGAAAGAAAGAAGAAAAGGAGTGAAGTAAGGTGGAAGAAGGAGGGAGGATGGAGGGGTGGGGAGAGAAAGGAAGGAAGGAGGAAAGAAAGAAAAAAGGAAAGGAAGGTTGGAGGGAAGGAGGGTGGTAGATTTTTTTTTTTTTTTTTTTTTGGGTCTTTTTGAGACAGGGTCTCCCTGTAGCCTCAGCTGTCCTGGAACTCACTATGTAGACCAGGCTGGCCCTGAACTCACAGAGATCCGCCTGCCTCTGCCTCCAGAGTGCTGGGATTAAAGGCATGTGCCACCACGCCCTGCTCAGTGGTAGATTTTTTAAACAGCAATTTTTTTTCTCAATAATTGAGTTCTTGTTAAAGATCACAAGCGAGCAAGCCAAGGATGGTAGCACATGTCTGTAATCCAGCACTCAGAAGGCTAAAGCAAGAAAATCACAACTTAAGTGATTCTGGGCTATACTGTAAATTCCAAGTGAGCCTGGGCTACATAGGAAGAATCTTTCCCCTCAAAAAGAAAAAGTCACAAGCTGATGAAAGGAGCTAACTTTAGGCCCCAGCTTCTTGAGCATCTACAAATAACTTTTCTAACAATGCTTACCATTATTTAGGAGGAGTACTGATGCCCTTATTCATCCCCTCCCCCACATGCCCCAATACTAATGGATTAGTTAACTCTTATCAACGAGGAGAAAATATGATGGAGAAAAGAACCTACTGGAAAAAACAGGAGCACATTCTTCATGACCATCTACTCTCAGAAAATAAATCAATTCCAAGTATATAAGATAAGATCTTCTAAAACATTAAATCTATATATAATATTTCTATTCCTGTTATAATCATACTGCTTTAACATATACACTGAGAAAAAGGAATTATATTTAAAACAAAAATTAGACAGGGTATAGTGGTGCATACCTTTAACCCCAGCACTAAGGAGGCAGAGGCAGGCAGATAATTGTGAGTTCAAGGTCAACCTGGTCTATGTGGCAAATTCCAGGTCAGCCAGGGCTACATAATAAGACAATTTCTCAAATAAATAAATAAAATTTTAAAATAAAAATCAGAAAATTTCAGGGGCTGGAGAGATGGCTCAGCAGTTAAGAGCACTGGCTGCTCTCGCAGAGGACCCAGATTTGATTCCTGCACCCCACATGGTATTGAATAACCATCAGTAATTCCAATGGGGGAAGGGGGATCCGATGCCCTCTTCTGACCTCTGAACGCACTATACTACACAGGTGCACTTACATCTAAGCAATATACTCATATACATAAAATAAAAAATAAATAAGCTGGGCATGGTGGCGCACACCTGTAGTCCCAGCACTTGGGAGGCAGAGGCAGGCGGATCTCTGTGAGTTCAAGGCCACCCTGGTCTACATAGTGAGTTCCAGGACAGCTGGGGCTACAGGGAGACCCTGCTTCAAAAAGACCAAAAATAAATAAATAAATAAATAAATAAATAAATAAATAATAAAATGTTTTTTTTTAAAAAATCAGAAAATTTCCATTTACACACCAAAGAATAAAGGTTTGGGGCTGGAGAGATGGCTTAATGGTTAAAAGCACTGGCTGTGGGCCAGGTGTGGTGGCACACTCCTTTAGTCCAAGCACTCGGGAAGCAGAGGAGACTGGACCTCTGTGAATTCAAGGCCAGTCTGGTCTACATAGCAAGTTTCAGGCCAGCTGGGGCTACTGAGAGACCCTGTCTCAAAAAGAAAAAAAAAAAAAAAATCTAGATAAAATTTTAAGGCCATGTGTGAAGTTCCAGCATTAAAGAGGCAGACAGATCTCTTTAAGTTGGAGACCAGCCTGGTCTACAAAGCAAGTTCTAGACCAGCTAGAGCTGCATAGTGAGAGACCTGGACTGGGAGGGAAGGAAAAACAAAAACAAAAACAGACTTTATTAACAGTTGGAGGCCAGCAAGATGGTTCACTGGGTAAAGGCGCCTGCTGCCTAGTGAGCTTGATCCCAGCACCTGCCCACATGGTGGAAGAAAGAAACAAGCAAGTTGTCCTAAACTCTCCCACTCTCCTGCCCACTCATAAGCTTGCTGTGGCTCTTGCACGCCCACCCAAATACAGACATACACAAATGTAAAAACTTTTAATGTCTGTATAAAAGTCTTATATATTAGAATTTTAAAGATAACAGCCCAAAATGATGGCTTTAATTTAAAATAATGAAGGAAATTGGGGGTGTAGCTCAGTGGTACTTTCCAATATGTGCAAGGCTCAGGGTTCAAGTCCCAGAACAGAAAAACTCAATAAATAATGCAAGAAATTGTTTATTCTAGAAAAATCTGAAACGCCTCAGTTTAGTTTCTTTGGGAGGCATAATGGTTCAAGAATGCAGCTTCCAAAGAAAAAAAGAGCTCCATAATTTTGTTTCCTGTTTAGGAAAGGTTAGGTATGTCCCATAGTAATACAAATTGTTCCAACAGATACTAACATTGTAATATTGAGTCAGTCTCACTTAAAGAGTCAATTTGACTAACCAGGCGTGGTGGCACATGCCTTTAGTCACCAACACTTCCAAGGCAGAGGCAGGAGAATCTCTGTGAGTTCAAGGCCAGCACGGTTTACATAGCAAGTTCCAGGCCAGTGGGGCTACAGGGAGACCTGTCTCAAATGACCAAAAAAAAAAAAAAAAATCAATTTGCTTGTTTAGAAAACTTTAGATGGCCGGGCATGGTGGCACATGCCTTTAATCCCAGCACTTGGGAGGCAGAGGCAGGCAGATCTGTGTGAGTTCAAGGCCATGGGGCTAAAGAGACAGCTCAGTGGTTAGGATCACTGACTTCCCTGGTAGAGGACCCAGGTTCAGTTGCCAACACCCACATGAAAGCTAACAACTGTCTATAACTCCAATTCACTCCAGTCTGACAGCCTCTTCTGACCTCCGCGGGCATTGCATGACACAGGTGCACTTGCCTACATGCAGGCAATACACACATACACATAAAATAAAAATAATAAAATTTTAAAAAAAAACTTTATATGCTAAATAAATTATTCAAATTCCTAAATATTTAAAACAACTCAGTGTTCAGAAGGGTCTATAATAAAAAAAATGACTGCAACAAATTCTTGCCTGGCAGCAAATATTGTAAATCAGCATCTTTTTTGAACCTATACATGTTTGCATTCTCTCAGGTCACACACATACACTTAAAAGGAATTCTAAAGGAAATAAGAAATGTACATGATAAAAGCAGAAGTTGCCCTTCCAGTAGTAGAGAGATACAACTTCCTTTGTAGTTCAGGTTTCAGGACTTCATGCATGATGGCTTCCACTTCTCAACTGCTCTTAGAATTGGACATTTTCTTTGATGGCTTACCTCTTTCATGGTGAATATTTCACCTTGTGCACCTGCTGTCTGCAAAATCTTCAAAAGCGGCGATTTTGGTCGTACCTGATATAAACAAAATAAATCTGCTATTTTTGGGTTTTTGTTGGTTTAAAACAAGATTTTACTTGGTTGGCTGGCCTGTACCTCACTATATAGAGGAGGATAACCCTGAACTCTGATCCTCCAGCGTACACCTCCCCAGTGCTAGGATTAAAGGGAAGAAGCACACACCCAGAATAAACATGCTTTTTACATTTAATTAAATTGGTTTCTGAAACTCCAAGGAACAGCAGAACTTCCTTAAAAGCCTTTAAAAAGACAAGTCTAGGAGCACAGCCTAGTAGCGATCAGACTACTACTTGCAGACTTTCTGATAAGTCATTTACAATGCAGAGTACATTCATTCCTACTATGAGGACTAGAATAAAAACATCTTTTCAGGAAAATGTGTTGACAAGAATACAAAAGTGGAAATGATGCAATGAAATTTAAAAAAAAAAAACAAAAACTTGGCAGTCCTCATAAAGTTAAACACAGAATTGCCCGATAACCCAACTATTCCATTCCTAACTATATATGAAAAAAAAACAAAAACTGAAAGTTGGGTAACAGTCTAAATATTTGTACACCAGTATTACTCTGAAATAGTCAAAAGGTGGAGGCAACTAAAACGTCCATCAGCGGACTGATAAAATGTGTTGCGTATGCCCATCATTTCACTAAGCTTGTTAGCTAACGATTATAGGTGGTTTTATTTCGGATGTTTCAATTATAAAATACAAACCCAAAGTAGAAAAAGTCATCTACTTGCTATTCTGCAACCCTATTATACCACAGTAGTTTGATTTAGTCTCTCACATTTTATTATTTGCTTTGTATATTATTTCCCTCATTCACATACTTTTGTATCTTCTATATTTTATTTAGTATTTCATGCTTTTCAGGGCTGGAGAGATGATTCAGCAACCACTCTTGCAGAGGACCCAGGTTCAGTTCTCAGCTACCCATGTGGTAGCTCACAACTGTCTGTAACTCTAGTGCCAGGGGCTCCAACACCCTCTCTGGCCTCTTGGGCACTGTGTGCACAGGTACACATATACATTCAGGCAAAACACTCATACATATAAGATTAATCAAAATAAGATAAAATTACCTGGGGTTTTTTGTTTTGTTTTGTCTTTTTGAAAATTATATTCTATGGGGCCAGGCATAGTGGCATATGCCTTTAATCCCAGCACTTGGGAGGCAGATGTAGGAGGATCTCTGTGATTCCAAGGCTTCAAGGCCAGCCTGGTCTACATAGCAAGTTCTAGGCCAGCTGGAGCTACAGAGAGACCCTGTCTCAAAAAGACCTAAATAAATAAATAAATAAATAAATAAATAAATAAATAAATAAAAATATTTTATTCACAATTTTTATTTTGTATGAGTGTTAGGACTGCATGTATGTAAGTGCACCCATGTCATGCAAAGCCCGAAAGAGGTCAGAAGAGGGTGTCAGATTCCCCTAATTTTGTGTGTGTGTGTGTGTGTGTGTGTGTGTGTGTTCACATGTACATGTGCTGCTGCGAATTGAACTTAGAGCCTCACACATGCTAGGCAAGCACCCTGCTGATGACTATATTCCAAGTTCCATTACTAATATTTTTAAGACGTATTTATTTTTATTTTATGTCTATGAGTGTTTGCCTGCATGTATGTATGTGCACCACATGCATGCCTGGTACCCATGGAGGTGGAAAGAGTGAAAGACCCTCTGGAACTGTAGTTACAGGTAGTTACAGCTGCCATGTGGGTGCTGGGAACCAAACCTGCGTTCTAAGAGCAGCCAGTGCTCCTAATCTCTGAGTCATTTCTCTAGCCAAACCCGCATTGATTTTTAATGAGTGCAAAATGTACCATTCTTATGTACCTGCTTATTATTTACTTAAACCAAGGAATAGCAAAAATGGTTCTGAATTCATTAAAAAAAAACAAAAAAACTTTTTCCTCCCTTTCTCTCTATTTTGACAGTGCTAGGGATCAAACTCCAGACCCCACACATGGCAAGACAACTGAGCTACACTCCCAGTTGTATATAGTTTTCCTAGAACACAGTATGTCCATTTGTTTATATACTGTCTAGGGCTGCTCTCAAGCAGTATTGAAAAGTTAGGACAGAAACCTAATGGCCTGCAAAGCCTAAAATATTTATTTTCTGGCCCCAGCTAGAAAGTTTGTTGACTTCTACCCTAAACTTCAAGTGGTTCCTAATTTGGGATATTAAAAAGTAATGCTACTTAGAAGATGCTGTGGTGGCAGACAGAAGAGCCACAGTCATCCATGGCTATTACAGAGCAGTTGAGGCCATCCTAGGCTACACGATATTTGGAAAAACTTTGTACATAAAAGTTTTTCATATTCTGGAGAACTTAATTGAAAGAGTTGGGAGTTGGGGAGATAGCTCAGTCAGTAAGTTTACTACGTGAAAACCTGAGTTTTTTTGTTGTTGTTAATGAACAGGGTCTCCGTTGTCCAGGATCCTAAACTCACTCTATAACCCAGGCATGGCTCTGAACTTTTGATCCTCCTGCTTGAGCCTTACAAGAAGTTGGGATTATAGGACATCATCATCAGACTCAGCAACAAAGACAACCTTAAGGCTAATGCCTTCCACCAGTCTCTCTAATATTTTAGTTATCGTACTCTTTGGCATTTTTCTGGTCACTATTAATTTAGACATGTAAATTTACACTCTAGAATAGCATACTTTTTTGTTTTGACCAAAAGAAGAAATTAATACAACTGAAAATTAAGTGAAAGACATCTTTTACTTTTCAATTGGAGATGAAAAAGCAGACAAAAGTGTGGTGGTGCATGCCTTTAATCCCAGAACTCTAATCTCTGTGAATTCAAGGCTAGCCTGGTCTACAGAGCAAGTTCAGGACAGCTGGGGCTACAGGAAGACCCTGTCAAAGAAGAAAGGAAGGGGGAAGCGGGGGAAGGGAAGGGAAGGGAAGGGGAAGGGGAAGGGAAAGGGGAAGGGGAAGGGAAAGGGAAAGGGAAAGGGAAAGGGGAAGGAGAAGGGAAGGAAAAAGGAAAGGAAAAAGGAAGGAAAAAGGAAAGGAAAAAGGAAAGGACAGGAAAGGAAAGGAAGAAAGAAAGCAGTCAAAAGCAAACTCTCCAGGTGGAAAAGAATCTATGAAATACCATTCCAATCTAACTGTACTGGCCAGAAGACACAGAAAGCTGAGTATGGAAAAGAGGCAGCTTCAAGCTGGGTATGGTGGCACACACCTTTAATCCCAACACTTGGGAGGCAGAAGGATCTCTAGGAGTCTGAGGGAAGCCTGGTCCACATATTGAGTTAGTAAATTCCAAGCCAGCTGGGACTACAGAGTAGTCCCACACACAAAAAAGGGTGTGTGTCTGTGCAATTTCAACCCTGAGCTAGCAGTGACAGAAATGAACAGAAGTAGCTCTGACTATGAAGTGACAATACACAGGATCTACTCAGAATATATGTTGGACATAAACCTATATAAAACTGTAATCAAATTGCCTGCAGGTGAGAAAGTTCTACATCAACTATCCATATTTCTGAGTAACAAAAATTCTTCTATAGAGAAAGTTTTATTCTTAAAAAAGAAAACTTAAAGCTGGGCATGGTGGTATACGCTTTTGATTTCAGCACTGAAGAGGCAGAGACAAGTGGATCTGTGAATTCAAGGCTAGCCTGGTCTGCATATTGAGTTCCAGGCCAGCTGGGGTTACTGGGAGACCCTGTCTCAAAAAGACAAAAGGAAAAGAAAGAAAAAAGAAAGGGGTATGGAGATATAGCAGCTCAGTAGGAGAGCACTTGCCTAACATGCATGAGGCTCGGTTCAATCCTCAGTACAGGAAGGAAAGGCAAAAAGACAGAAAATGTAAGGAATGAGACCAGCTTAAATTAACCCTATCTCTGAGATGAAACACAAAGCAGAATGCTGAGTCTCAGATACAAATGTTGCAGGTGGATCTCTGTGAGTTCAAGGCCAGCCTGTTCTACATAGTGAGTTCCAGGCCAGCTGGGGTTACTGGGAGACCCTGTCTCAAAAAGACAAAAGGAAAAGAAAGAAAAAAGAAAGGGGTATGGAGATATAGCAGCTCAGTAGGAGAGCACTTGCCTAACATGCATGAGGCTCGGTTCAATCCTCAGTACAGGAAGGAAAGGCAAAAAGACAGAAAATGTAAGGAATGAGACCAGCTTAAATTAACCCTATCTCTGAGATGAAACACAAAGCAGAATGCTGAGTCTCAGATACAAATGTTTGTGAATAAAATAAGCCTTAGGAAGAATAGACATCATCTTCTAGGGGAAACCTGAGACTGGCAGCATCAGTTAAGTGTACTATAGAATTGTGGTGCTGTAGAACCAGAAATTCTACTTTTGAGAGCTTCAGTATCTTCCTCATCCTGTTATGGCTGAGGGAAGTAAACAGGCTATCTCACTATCAACAAGACAGCTGAGCTCGAGTTTTTGTAATTCCACTGTTTATTTACCTAATTCCATAATTTCTAAACACTTAGGAGGTCCAGACCATTCCAGCCAAGAGTCAGCTCAGAACTGCTGTGCTCCTCCAAGCTGGTCAATGCAGCATACTCAGGTTATAGTTTATTTTAAAATTTTTATGCTGTCAGGTTTGTGTCTCTTATAGCCTCTTGAGTTTTATCTTAAGACTCCCTTCATTCTAAAGTTTCACAAATATTTTCTATATTTTCTCCCTATCTATATTTTCAGTTTTCACATTTAAATCCTTCATTTATTTTGAATTTGTTTTTATACAAAGTCTGAAACATCTTTGTTTTCTTCCAGATAGCTAATTATCACCAAAACATTTATTAATACGGACACTTTTCCCTCACCGACTCCAAATTCCACTTTCATCATATATTAAGGTACACAATGTTGAACATGAACAAATGTTTCTGGAAACAGAGACAAAAAGTAATTTATAAAATGTTAAAAGAAAAGGTCTGTAACAGGACACACCAAATCTGACGGGAGGAGATGGGAAAGGAAGGAGATGGTCAAAAATCTGTATCCATAAATGTCCAAAGATAAAGTATGGATTTTTGTAAGAATATATTTGCTATAGTCACAATGTAAGATTGTCTTTTAAATAAAATAAACTAGCTGACCTGGTAGCAAAGCCTGGAAGACAGAACCTGGGAGAGAGGCAGAACATGAGCAAATTTAGTCCAGCATGGCTACATAGGAAGTACCAGGTCAGCTCGGGCTATATAGGTAGACTCTCTTTTCTCTCTCTCTCTCTCTCTCTCTCTCTCTCTCTCTTTCTCTCTCTCTCACCAAAAAGAATTAGAAAAAAAAAATTAACTAATTACAATTAGATGAGACCAAAACAACAACAAAGCCCCTTGCAGAAGCTGGTCCCAAATTCTCCACTACCCACTCCTTACCCAAAACACCCTAACCAGTTTCCAGAATGTACCATTTTGAGCAATCTGTAACTTTCATTTAATCAATGACCAATGACTACTACTACTGTTCATCTGTTTCTATAATTTGATTTTACAATATAACCACTTCTACTCTGAACACATCAGTAAATTCAGCTACATATGCCTCAATTTCTTAAACATTTAGGAAAACAAGTGATGGTAATTACCTGACTGATTCGTTCTGAAGAGATCTTGCAAGCACTGTCAGATGTTGAACACTGGGCAGAGGTGGGATGTGATGTCATTTTGGCAGTGTAGATATTGCATCTGGTTAGTAAAACTGAAAGGAAAAAAAAAAATGTTTTTAAAAATCTAAGCCGGGCATAGTGGCACACGCCTTTAGTCCCAGCACTGGGAGGCAGAGGCAGGCGGATCTCTGTGAGTTTAAGGACAGTGAGTTCCAGACCAGCTCAAAAAGACAAAAAAAATCTGAAGTAGTACATTCTGTCTTTAGCATTTATTAAGAAATAAGCCAGGAGTGGTGGCACACAGCACTTGGGAGGCAGAGGCAGGTAGATCTCTGAGTTCCAGGCCAGCAGGAGCTACATAGTGAGACCTCACCTCAAAAAAAAAAAAGGAGGAGGAAAAAGGAAACGGAGAGACAAACTGCCAACAAAAGTAAAAAAGATACAACTGACACCTGTATCAGAGCCGTCTGCCCAAATGCCACACTGAGCTTCTCTACACCAATCTCTCTAGTTCAAATCCAGCAAAAAACCTGAAGAGATTACCTATTCCTCCCTCAGGTGAATTCTGAAACAGAAACAGGGTTGGGCATGCACCAACTTCCATGCTGATGCTAATGAGCAAATTGTTCTAGCTGAAAAGTCAAATCTACAATCACTGACTATCAAGTGGTACTGGCTATCTCCTCCTAAAAGGGCTTAAGAGCACTCAACAGGAGACAGGCAGAGCTGGAGAATGACCAAGTTTCCAAGAGCACTTCAATGTAAACCTCAACATGTTTCAACATGTCTGGGCAAGGAACCATAGCAAAGTGTCAACTTTTTCCAGGCAAGCATGGTGGGACACACATCTTCTCAGCACTTGGGAGGACTGCCCTGAGTTCAAGGCCAGCCTGAAGTACACAGTAAGACCCTATCTCAAAAAAAATGAATCAGTTAAGCCAGGTGTGATGGCACACGCCTTTAGTCCCAGCACTCGGGAGGCAGAAGCAGGCGGGTCTCTTGAGTTCAAGGCTAGCCTGGTCTACATAGTGAGTTCCAGGCCCAGCTGGGCTACTGGGAGACCTTGTCTCAAAAAAACCAAAAAAAAAAAAAAAAAAAATCAATTAAATAAAATAAAAATAAGGCACATTTTTCAGTACCAGTTACAGCAGCTATTAAATGTACCAAAATTCGGGGTTGTAGAGAATATTAAGCAGTTAAGAATGTGCTGCTGGAGAGATGGCTCAGTGGTTAAGAACACTAGCTGTTCTTGCAGAAGACTTGGGTTCAAATCCCAGCACCCACATGGCAGCTAACAACTGTCCATAACTCCGGTTCCAGGGGATCCGACAGCCTCTTCTGTCCTCCGTGGGCACTGCACAACACAGGTGCACTTACCTACACGCATACACATTAAATAAAAAATATTTTAAGAAACATATATTGGGGCTAGAGAGATGGTTCAGCAGTTGACAGCACTGACTGCTCTTGCAGAGGACCCGGGTTCGATTCCCAGCACCCACATGGTGACTATGAACCATCCTTAACTCCTGCTCCAGGGGAATCTGAAGCCCTCTTCTGACCTCTGTAGCAATGCATGACACAGATGCACTCACATACATGCAGGCAATACATTCTCATACACATAAAAAAAATAATAAGAATATATATATATTTATTTATATATATATATAAATGTGCTGCAGTTCCAGAGCACCAGAGTTTGATTACCAGCACCACTGGGGCAGCTCACAATCACCTCTAACTCCAGCTCCAGGGAATCAGGTATCCTCTTCTGGCCTCTATGGGCAAGCACACACAGCATATATTCACATATACCCACAAATAAAAATAGTATGTATCAAAACTAAAAAGCACATGGCAATTAGATACCTACAGACTCAGTTAAACAAAAATAAAAAGCATCAGAAAAAAAGATGTAGCACAAATTAAAACGGAATTTTTCATTCTCTGTTTCCTTTAAAGAAAAAAAAATGTGGTGCATGACTGTAATCTCAGTACTCAGGAGGCTGAGGCAAAAGAACTGTTACAAGCGAGACTAGCTTGAGATACGTGAGGAATGCAAAACCAGTCAAGACTGCATAGCAAGAACCCTGCCTCAAAAAGCAAAACAGGGACTGGAGGGATGACTCAGCAGTTAAGAGCACTGGCTGCCATAAATGTGGGGCACCCACTCTTCTGTAAATAAACCCCTATCCTATGCTCTGTTAAAAAAAATAATAACAAATAAATAAATCTTCCCTGGGCCTGTACCACCGGCTAACTCTCCTAGCCTGCACTACTATCCTCAGGCCTCTTGGGGTAAGTCTACTGGAACTCACTATGTAGACCAGGCTGGCCTTGAACTCACAGAGATCCGCCTGCCTCTGCCTCCCGAGGGCTGGGATTAAAGGCGTGCGCCACCACACCCAGCTATAAATAAAATATTTTTTAAAAAAAGATCACTGGCTGCTGGGATTAAAGGCATGCGCCACCACACCCAGCTATAAATAAAATATTTTTTTAAAAAAGATCACTGGCTGCTGGGATTAAAGGTGTGTACCATCACACCTGGCTATAAATATTTTTTAAAAAAAGATCACTGGCTGCTCTTGGAGAGGACCTGGGTTCAATTCCCAGCACCCATATGGCAGTCTTTAATTCTGCCCTTAACTCCAGTTCTAGGGGATCCAACGTACTCTTTTGATTTCCATGGGCACTACACACACACAGTGCACTTACAGACATGCAGGCAAAACATTCATACACATTAAAATAAAAATAACAATTGTTTTAAAAAAGCAAAATAAATAAGGAAATGTATTTTTAGGAACTTGAGTTTATCTTCAGATCTTTTTCTAAAAAACAGATGGTACTCAATAAGTAAAATGTATGACTACCAAGCTACATCAGAGTAGGAATGAAAAAGCCTAGGAAAACCACCAACAAAGAACATCGGACAAAGCTAACCAGAGCTCTCTTTCCAGATTGCTTATTAGCTACAACAAAGAATAAATTCCTTCCTGATCTATCAGCTCCCCTTGCCTCAAAGTAGAAACAGAACATAACTTTAACTTTTAAAGCTGTCTTTCAACTGGCACTTCCGACCTTACAAAGGTAAAAAACAACCTTCATCTTAAAGCCTAGTAGTTTTCAGCATCTCAGTAACAGCAACTCCATCTTTACAGTTGTTCAGGTCAATAACCTCAAAACCATCCTTGACTTTTATACTCCACACCCAGCCCATAAATAAATTCTAACTATATCTTCAAAATATAGCCATACTCTAACCACTTCTCGCTACTTCCAATACTGCACTAATCCAATCTGCCTACCTCTCCACTTCATTAGTCACTTTAGAAAATAAAAAGAAAAACGCAGTTTCTCCTGTACTTTCATTCAAAATTCAACACTGAAGATTTCCACGACCCTTGGTTTCCAAAAAGAATGTGGGTTTCTCCCCACCAGCAACCAATTTTGCAGCAGACACCTGCTGGATGTACTCTAAATCTATCTGAAAATAGCATCAGGATTCCACCACTGAGGGCTCAGTCCCACAAGACAGTCTCCTACTTCCAAGATCTGCAGTTCTGATTACCTACAAATGAAGATTTCCACAACCTCATCAGGTTCCACTACTTTGCTAGAGGCACAGAATCTTGGGAATACTGACTGTTTTATTAGGATATTACAAATAGCACCAATGATAATCAGATGGTGTTGCTGAGGATGGGGTATATGGGAAAGAGTATAAAGCCTCCATCTCTCAGAAGTCCAACCCAGGAACATCAGCTACTAAACTCTCAGAACCAACATTTGAGACTTTCATTGTCTAGACTCATTGTCTAGACTGGTCACTGGTGACCAACACAACCTTCTTCTGCCCTTCTCCTCTCTCCAGAGATTGTAGGTAGAATTCCCAAAGTCGGGGCTGGAGAGACAGCACCAACAGCAGCTAACAACTATCTGTAACTCCAGTCCCAGGGGATCCAACAGCCTCTTCTGACCTCCACAGGCACTGCACAACACAGGTGCACTTACCTACATGCAGGCAATACACACATACATATAAAATAAAATTTAAAAAAAAGTCCTAATATGAATTCTGCCTTGGGCTTTATGGTGATCAACCCCCATTCCACAGCTGCCTAGGACCGGCCAGTCACCAATCAACTGACTACATACAAAAGCAGTAGCATGCCAGGTGTGGTGGAGCATGTCTATAGTCCCAGCACTTGGGAGGCAGAGGCAGGCAGATCTCTGTGAGTTCAAGGCCAGTCTGGTCTACATAGGGAGTTCTAGGCCAGCTGGGGCTACAGAAAAACGCTATCTCAAAAAAGATACAAAAAAAAAATTTTTTTAATGGGTTTTTTTAAATGGGGGGGCGGGCTGAAGAGATGGCTCAGTGGTTAACAGTACTGACTGCTCTTGCAGAGGACCCAGGTTTGAGCCCCAGCACCCACATGGTGGCTAATAACCACCTGTAACTCTTGTTCCAAGGAATCTGATGCCTTCTTCTGACCTCCCTGGGCATTGCATGACACAGGTACACTTACATACATGCAGCAATACCCTCATACATATAAAATAAAAATAATAATTTTTTTTAATTGGGGGAGTGACTGGAGAGATGGCTCAGCAGTTAAGAGCACTGGCTGCACTTGCAAAGGACCCAGGTTTGAGTCCCAGCACCCACATGGCAGCTAACATCCATCCTAACTTCTCCTATTCCAGGGGCTCCAACACCCTCTTCTGACCTCTGTGGGCACTGCACAGCTTGGGTGCACAAATACATGGAGACAATACACTCACACACATAAAATAAAAATAAGTTAATTTTTTTAAAAAATTTTGCAACAGGGTCTTATGTACCCAGGCTTATCTTGAACTCCATTTGCACCTGAGGATGACCTTGAACTTCTTACCCAGTGCTGGTCTCAACTTACCCAGTGCTGGTATTAGAGTCATGAACCAACGTACCTGGCTTATGTGGTGCTGGGAATCCCAGGGCTTCTTACAAGCCAGGCTAGCAATCCACCAACTGAGTTATATCCCAAGCCTCCAATTTTTACCCTTTAAATACTGAGTTTTGCCCATTTATTGCCATTGGTAT